GCTTGTGGAGGGAACAGTTAGAGAGGCTGACAAGGAGGGAGTTTCCGTAGTCGAGCCTTGAGGTGACAAATGCGTGTATGAGGGATGAGGCAGGGTGGAGTCGGGCAATGTTGCGTGGGTCATGGATATGGGAGAGAAAGAACAATTGAGGGTCAAACAAGATGCCCAGATTCCTGACTGGCCGGTGAGGTGGAGTGTGCATCTATGGATTCTGATGCTGACAGTGCCTGAGGTGCGGAGGCTCTGGCACGAGCCAATCAGGAGAACCTCGGTCTTGCTGACATTCAGCTGTAGAAAGTTGGCTCTCATCCAGGACTTGATGTCTGACAGACAGTCTGTCAGGACGTCAGTTGTCCTGGAATTGAGGGTGGAGGCAGAGAGATAGAGTTGGGTGTCATCTGGGTAACTGTGGAAGTTGACCCCATGTTTGCAGATGATGTCACTAAGGGGGAGTTTGTAGAGGTTGAAGAGGAGGAGACTGAGGACAGAGCCCTGAGGATCACCATACAAGACTGTGCGTTGGCTGGAAGAGAAAGTGTTGGTAAAGACACATTGGAGACGGTGTGAGAGATAAAACCTGAACTATTCAAGGACAGAACCTTGCAGGTTGAGGTGAGAGGAGAGGCAGTGGAGGAGGATAGAGTGGTCCACGGTATTGAAGGCAGCAGAGAGGTCAAGGAGGACGAGAGACAGAGGGAGCCTTGGTCACAGTTAGACAGAATGTCATTTGTGACCTTGACCAGAGCAATTTCCGCTCTGTGAGCAGCACAGAAATCCAATTGGCGGAGCTTGTGAAGGGAGTGGAATGAGCAAAGCTGGGAAGCAATGAGTCTTTCAAGGAACTTGGAAAGAATAGCGAGGTTGGAGATGGGCTGGTAGTTAGAAGGGAGGGATGGGTCCAGGGAAGGTTTTTCAGGATAGGAGTGATTGTAGCTGTTTTTCGGGGATGGGAACCCTGCTGGATCATAGGAAGAGATTGATGGTGTCAGAGATTAGAGTGGTGAGGCGGTGAAGCTGGGAGGAAAGGAGAGGGGTGGGGATATAATCAAGGGAGCAGGTGTTGTGTTTCATGCTGGATATGGTGGTGAAAAGATTAGGGGAGACAGGTTCGAAGATTTGGAGAGAGTGATGGGTAGGGGTCAGACTGTGGGGGAGATGGGGAGGGGGTGGTGGTTGAGAAGGCGGAGGCAGCTGAACGGATCCCCTCAATTTCGGACTCGAGGAAATACAGCATCTTCTCACAGTCAGACTTTGTGGAGAGAATAGGTGAGGCATGGGAGGGTAGACGGAGGAGCTGATTGGTAGTGGAGAAAAGGAGCTCGGGGTTATCCTTCACCTCAAAAATTATCTTGAAGTAGAAGGACGATTTGGCAGAGGCAAGTGCAGAGCGGTACGTTTTCATGTGGATCAGGCAGATCTGCTGGTGGACAGTTAGATCAGATTTGAGCCAGGTGTGTTCGGTGGCCCGCACCTGACCCTTGAGGGAGCAGAGGTGGCTGTTGTACCAGGGTGAACTTTGTGAGTAAGAGGTAGTTCGGGAAGTGAGGGGGTCAAGGACATCAAGATTGGTGGAGAGGGAGTTGTGGAGGAGAGTGAGCAAGGAGGATAAATCAGTGTGGGACATAGGCCAGATGGAGAGGAGTTCAGATGATTCCAGGGCAGCAGAGAGGATTGCGGGTAGACTTTTTTCCCTGGGCGGTAGGAGATGGAGGTGGGTTTGGTGGCGATGGGGAGAGAGATTGAGGAGTTAAAGGAGATGAAATGGTGATCGGAGATGGCTTTGCTGTGATTGTGATATCCAAGCCATTGAGCCCCAAGTAATCAACAGGTCAAGTGGGTGGCCATGAACGTGAGTGGCAGAGTGGATGTGGAGAGAAAAGTTGTGAGAGGAGATGAGAAAGGTGAAGACCAAGGAAATAAAGCAGGAGGGGGTGAAGTGAAGGTTGAAGTCGCCGAGGATGAGGAGGCGGTCAGAACAGAGGCAGAGGGAAGCTAGGAGGGTGGAGATGTCAGAGATGAAGGTGGGGGATGTTTTTGCAGGGGCAATAAATGAGGAGAATTTTGAAGGAAAGATTGGCGGGATGGTAGAGGGTAAGGTGCTTGAATGAGGGGAATAAGCCAGAGGAGTAAGGGATAAAGCAAGTGAGGTCCTGGAGATGAAGGCCACACCACCGCCATGATGGTTGGGACATGGGCTACAGTGGGAGCAGTCACCCTTCTGATCATTATTAGACTCAGCAGCAATAATAGAAACTTTGAAAGATGTAATTTTAAAATATTTAGCAGGTCCAATTCTCAGGTTCGACAAAAGATTATCAGTCCTTGATACGTTCAATACATTTAACCAATATGGGTCCTATAAAAGTGCAAACATGTATACCACAACAACAACAACAAATTATATTTGTGTACCACCTTTCACATCAGGAGGATGTCCCAAAGCAATGGATACAACAACAACAAGATTACATTTGTATAGCAACTTTCACATCGGGGAGGATAGTCAGGGATCTGCACCCGAGTTGGTGGTTGGGATCAGGAGGGGAGGAGGGTGGCGAGGGTAGGGGTAGGAGAGTGACCGAAGGCATGGTTGAAGAGGATGATCTTGAGACAGGCCTTGAAGGAGGACTGGTTCTTCTTATTACCTCACCTGAATTCTGGAATTTCCTACAGTCATAGTCTGAAAATGTTAAATCCTTGGGCACTTCTCGAAAAGAGAAAGGAGTTTCTTCTGGCCTCCTGGCCACCAGACCTCCAGATAAAAGTGCTCATTGACTTGAAGGATGTTTGTGGGACAATGCTATGTGCAAATTGAGTTTCATGTTTGCCTACAAATACACAGTCACCTCACTTTACAGTAAAATCCTGTGAAGCTCTTTGAGACATCTCGACAACATGATAAGGCGCAATATCAAATCCAGGACTGTTATTATTATGTGATATTTATTATATGATATTTATATTTTTCTCTTCAACCGTGCCTTCACCTCCCCTCTCGATTCTCTACCCCCTCCTCGCTCCCTCCCTTCCCTCCCCTCACCCTGACCATTTCGCCCCTGCTCGGGTCCCAACACAACTGTTCAGCGCCTTGGGACATCCTCCCGATGTGAAAGACGCTCTATAAATGCAATCTTGTTGTTGTTGTTGTATGTGCAATGGGCTTGAAGCCAGCAATAACATACTCTGTGGTGAAGCTGGGTAAGTCGAGTCTGTTCATTAAAATAGCCGGTGTACCCGCTCTATACAGTTGCGTGCCGCAAGTTCAACCTCACAGGCTTCTTGGAATTCATCATGAAGAATGACTTTGAGGGAGGGGGAAACAGCTCTTCGGGTCCATTTGATATGAAATCAATATGACATGGACTGCAATTTACACTCCATTGTGTTTTCATCCCTTCCCAAAATACACAGGATACACTTTACAGCATCGCCTCTGAAGCGCTTTGAGATGTCTCGATAACGTGATGAGGCTCTATATCAAATGCAAGGATTATCGGCTTTGAAACTCTTTCCCTCAATCCCTCCATCTTGCCCACGCCTTCCCCTCTTTTAGATCACGACTAAAGACCTTCCTCTGCGACAGTGCTTACAGTCACCTTCTCCCTCCCCCAGCTCGGCGTCAGGCTCTACCTCTGTTAAGGGCTCCAATACCCTGCCCGCGTGAAGATTGCTATGTAAATGTAGGGTGAAACCTTGGGAAAGTTTCCTTACTCCCATTGGTCATTTTCAATCCACGGTTGTTTGTGGGACATTGCTGTGCGCAATTGGCTGCCGCGTTTTGCCCACAAATATACGGTCAATTCACTTTACAGCATATTCTGTGAAGCACTTTGAGACGTCTAGAAGACGTGAAAAGCACTATATCAAATGCTAGGATTATTATTATTAAATACAAGTTGTTGTCTGGGCAAGTTTCCTTACTCCATACGCCTAATAATAATAATCCCTCCAAAACCAAAAACAATAATAAATTGGTCATTTTCAATCTACGACTGTTTGTGGGACATTGCTGTGCGCAATTGGCTGCCGCGTTCGCCCACAAATATACAGTCAATTCACTTTACAGTGTGTTCTGTAAAGCGCTTTGGGACATCCTCCCGACGTGAAAAGCGCTATATCAAATGCAAGGATTATTATTATTATTATTATAATTATCATTATTGTTTATTTAAGAAATGCCCACAAAGTAATCAGCGAATGCTATCAAAAACCATTAAGTACCTCTGAGCTTACTTTGCATTAGTGTTCAAGAAATTCCCCTTGGATGTTTAGTTTATGGCAGAAGTTGAAAAAGGCTGTGGTGCCTATGAGATTTTTTCAATCCAGATTTATATTGATGTCAACAGTAGGAATTTGCTGTCCTTTTTTTAGTCTTTGGAAAGCAGCTCCTGATTCTGGCTGCATTGGAATAATCTGTTCTGTGAATTAATAGCAGATTTAGAGAGAAAAAAATAGTGCAGCCAGAAAAAGGACAGCCTGAATATTTTTGGTGTGCTTCCTAATATATACATTCCATCCAAGTCAGTTCCCACCGTTTCTTCCTGTTCATGCACCAAACACACAGACACAAAGCCTATGGCTGCAGTCTTTCTCCCTGTCTGTCTATCTCTCTCTCTCTTTCCTACCCACATGCAGGTTGCTACCACACAAACCACCCAATGCTGAGGCCCCTGCAGTAACCCTACTCTAGGAGGAGCGAAGCGCGAGAGGCATGTCAAAGTGAAAGAATGATAGACATGCCAGCTATCCCTCTGCTCAGCTCAGCTCCTTTTCACTGCACATACATGGCCCGTGACAGCAGCACAGAGAAAATGCAGTCACATTACAGCTGAGGCAGCCACTGATCTAGTGACTGAGATGAACCTGGCATAAGCTTTACAGTACATCTCACTGGCAGTGACACTCAGCACACACAGAGATAGAGATATCTCCCTCCTTTTCTAACTTTACCTGAACACTGTGTTTTTTGGTGATTGCCTTGTTCTGTATCCCTCTTTTAGGATGGCAGAGGCTGAACTTCAAAAGCAAAGACTCCAAGCCATAACCGTAAGTCAATTCTCTTTTTCCTCTACTCGGTTGCACAACTTTTTTTGTTCTTATTTTAACTCTGGACCATGTGTTTTGTGCCTCCATGAGCTTCCTTTGAAAGAAGTCGACAGGGGTCTGAAGCCACTTTAATTGATTGTTTGATAGCCTCCAAGAATCTATGTTAGTTCATTAATTGACTGAAACACACTGTTGCCTGGTGTGTTGAATGGATCCCTGTCACTACTTATTCTGAATCTTGTGTTGGTTCGGTTATTGCTGTTGATGCTACTCGCCCCCAAATGTGCTTTTTTAAAAAATAAAAATGATGATTATTATTTTTTCATCGTAATTTTTTCAATGTTACCCAGAGACGAGTCGTGAAGCAAAAACCCACCAGGTTTCAAAAGAAAGTTTCTCTTCTCTCTTCCCCCAAACACAAAACACCTCAAATGTCCCCATTTGACCAGCAGGACACACACAGAGTGTCTGACCTGAGCTGGACGCCTGTATATGATTAAACTCAGAGCACTGGAAAGCTCCTGATAGAAGTCACAGAATCAAACTGTAGGGTCAGCCTCAGACTTAACCCTTTGGGTACACATCACCAGCTTTCACACTCAAAACACTGATTTTCAATGGTTCGGTGTAATAGAATCAAGGACCTATACCACACTGCCAGGATATTGCTTAACCCTCAGAAGACAAATGAACAATGTAAGATCACTTTTGTTTGACTATCATATGAATTCTGTGCAAAAAAAACCACACACACACCTCCCACTCCCAGCATTATCAGGCATATAGAGAGGAGTCAGAGAGACCCATTTCATTTACTTAACCCTTTGGGTATGGAAAATTATTCTCGACAATTGAAAAAAAACATTCTCTTTCATTTATCTGCTATTCCGACTTATTTTATTGTGTTACAATTCAAATCCGTGCATGTTTCTGTGAAGTATAATTAAGAGGTTTACCGAAGAGTGTTGCTTAATTCACATTATTTGATCAAACCACTGGAATGCATGACATTTGTGATTCGAGCAAAGATATGCGAATGTTGTTACTCTAGTTTTATTTTGTGCTCTTGCTCCAATATTATGCAATTTTAGGTTTGAGTTCCTTAATCACATTGGCACTCAAAGGGTTAAACTTTTCTGCAGTGGGCACTGTAGCTGTGCACTGCACTTTAAGAGATATTTGTTCCCCAGCAGGGGCAGGGGAAATTAACAGACAAAGAAAGATTTTTTTTTGCAGTGTATTCGTCCACTAGAAGTTGTCTGAGTTTCTGTTTACAGACTTTTTGACTGCAAATTGTGAGACCATTGATTTCTTTCCCCTTTGGTTACCCATCTCTGCACCAAAACCCCCACTCACTGACAGACTGTCAGTCTGCAAGAGCTTTCATGTGCTAGTTGGCTAACCGTTTGAGGAGTAATATTTACTCCTGCTGTCCGAAATGACAGCCCTAGCTCGTGAACCAAAGGATTTGATAGCAGCGAGCACCAACTAGGAAAGACGCTGAAGGGAGCAGAAACAGTATTAATTTGGACTTGGCACTAATAGTTAAGGATACAGCCGGGAAATGCCTGTATCAGGGGAACACAAGAATGGCTTCATTTTGATCTGCATTCTGATTTGTTTGCACAGATGATTTTAATTTAACTGCAGCTACTTTGTCGGATTTATTTATCTTAATCCAGTGAGAACAGTTACACATGGGAGGAGCTTCTGGCCTGTCTGGGAATGCCTAATAATAGCTGCTGCCATGATTGAGGCGAGGAGTGTTAGGTGAAGAAAGGGGGAGGAAAGAGGGTGGCGGGGAGGCGTATTGCCTGCAAAACTGAAAGTCGACCAAATGTCCTAAAGCTTCAGCTGTGTGACATTTGCAGGCTGGTGAGCATGATATCCCTTGTCTTTTAAGAATGTAAGAATTCAGTTTCTAGGTCCAATGGTTTTCTGGAAAACAATCCAATTGGGGGCACAGAAAATTTGTTTAAAATGCAAATATGGAGGCAAAATTATGACATTTTTAGTCCAGGCTTCTTTTTGAATGAGTGTGCCGAAGCTGCCCTGCCAGATGGCAGCTATTCTCCCTTTGTTAAGTGGAGTCTTTACACCCACAGAGGCTGCCTTCAACTCTGCTCTTCACCTGGATCAACTTCACTCATACTGTGTTCAAGTCAATAGTCTCTCTTACGAACATCGCTTCTGATTTGATAAATTCCTTCGTGAGTGTCATTTGTTAGTTGTGAAAAAGTACGCGCAAAAGCATGCATACAGAGGGAATTACATGTGTCCTTAATATATATTTGATAATATGTCCTGGCCAACATACCCCCAAATATAATTGATCGTTCACTTCATGGTTGTTTGTGGGACATTGCTGTATAACAAATAATCTGCATGATTGTCCACAAATACAGTTACAATACTGTACAATAATTCTTGTGAAGTGCTTTTGAGACTTTTTGATGATATGATATGTTGTTATATCAAATGTAAGGATTATTATTGTTATAATCAGCCATTCTGTGAACTTTTTTAAGGGCCTTATGTTTCCTCTGGGTGCATGTATTCAAAGTTAGTTTATATTGTATGTGGTTAGCACACATCGATATTGTTCTTGTATTCAGTAATTATACAGTAAGCACTCTTAAGATGTTACCTCATGTGAAGGGTATTATATATATGCAAGTTCTTGTTGTGTAATTGATTTTATATTATTTAGATTTATTTGCTGATGCAAAATAGAGGGTCCATTTTCAAAAGCAACAAAAATTGAGTGGTTGGGACGATATGAGAAATATAGTAGTTGTCAATGAATGGAAGAGATTTTCATCTGAAGTTTTGATCAGAATTAGAGCACCAATGACAGCTTCATAAATACAACAATCGTATTCAAGTGGAGCACAGATCTGAGGAAGGAGAGTTCCAAACTGTGGATCTTGGACAATTTAGTGAACTATCATAAACACCCAGAATAGAATCCTTCTTCCCAAGTTAAAGTCTTTAGCTATGTGTCATCTTGCATGGTTTTAATCACTGGTATTCAAAACAGATTTTATTGTTTAGTCAAAATCACACTTTTAAATCAGTTAGGAAAATAAAACAAATCCTCGTTAATCTTAGAGTATGGAGAGAAATCAGGTTAGGATGTCCTATTCCTGATCATCATCCACTGATTCCTACTGATGATCACCATCCACCGATTCCTACTGGCTGGTGCATGCTAACCCCAAGAGTGAATAACAACAACAACAAACTTACATTTGTATAGCGCCTTTCACGTCTGAGTTCATACATGAAGAATACGACTTCAATGATGCACTTACTCGAGGGCTCCTACATCCCGAAATGAAATCAGGACAGGAGAAAAAGGAAGGAAATAAGATAATTCCAAGAGATGCAGCACACTCCAAAATCATTGGGGACAACCTTGTCTCCATCCCCTGAATGCCTCTATGCAGTTGGTATGCAAATCAATAAAGTCCCTTCAATGATGAACTGAAGTGTACACAGAAAGGAGAAATGGGAAACGGAGATTGAAATTCCTAGTGTTCAAAACCATGCAAGATGACACCATTTCCGGTTCATCCACCGCTGGCTGATGCAGCACAGTAAAGAGTTTGTGAAGTTAACAGTCCATTCGGAAATAAAATCTAGAATAGGTTCTATCCAGTGAATCTGTCTTGTGTCAATATTGCCCAAGTCCATTTTGGACTAAATTCTCAAGTCAGTTGAGTTCAGATTTCCAGAAATCATACTGAAGCTGTACAGTGCTCTGGTAAAGCCACAGATAAGAGTACTGCATACAGTTCTGGTCGTCACAATATAAACGGGGTGCCTAGGCACTTGAGATGGTGCAGAGGAGAGCAACCAGGTTGATTCCCATTGTTAGAGGAAAGAGCTTTGAGCAACAATTGGTTTTTCATCAGATCTTGTGAAGACATGTACTTCCATCACAAAGGGTCTTTGCAGAAGGATCTTTGAGGAATGTGAACTAAACAGTTACAGCAAGGAATCACGCCATTCGGCTCAAATATTCCATGCTGGTGTTTATTCCACATGAGTCGCCACCCCTCCTATTCCCCTTTCTTATAAGCCATCTATTTCCTTCTCCCTCATGTGTGCATCAAGTTTCCTTTTAAATATGTCGGTGCTTTCAGGTTCAACTACAGCTTCCAGCAGTGCATTCCACATTCTCACCACCCGCTACGTGAAGAAGTTCCTCTTCTTCCACCATTGTCCTTTTAAAAATATTATGTCTGTAGCTAGTCCATGGCTAATCCAAGGCCAGCATAGAGTTAGTAGCCAATGAGGTATGGATATTATCATATAGCATGAGAGTTAAACTGATCTTAAAATTAAACTTAAACTAAATTTATAAACACTTAGCAGAGGCAAAAGATTGAACAATCATAGCATCCTGGGATTTGGGGGTTTACCTAGGGTGACCATTAAAAACAGCAATCTATTCACTTTGGGAGAAAAAGCAATCTGCATCTAGATTTACTCTATTTTCTTTGCACTTCAAATCCAGAATTTCAAACTTGTTGAATTCATTCTGAACTTTGAAGTTTTTTTTGGTGGTACTTAAAAGAAATTTACAGAAAGACAACTTCAAAATTAAGGCTGTATTTACAAATCTGCCAAATTCTAAACGCTCTGAAATGTGCAGCGCCTTGGGACTTCCTCCCGACGTGAAAAGGTGCTTTATCTTTCATACAAAAACGAAAAAGAAAAATATGAAATCGAGAAAGCTGGTTAAATTCAAACCTCAATTATTCATCATATTCAAACGTTCTTAGAAAGGGGGGTGAGGGGGAGGGAGGGGCATTATAAGTGACATTCCATTGTATACATTAAACAAATTTAGGCAAAGTATTCAAAGTTACATTGTACAAGTTAGATCATATCAAGAGCAGGAACAAGACACAAAAGTTCGGCAGAAGTTTATGAATGTGATGTTTTATAAAAAGGCACTTCTATATTTTTCAGTCAATAAAAGGAGGTTGAAA